CGTATAAATGTAAGTGGATCGGTTCTCGCTGCCGGTCGTTGAGAGGAGCGATGGGTTTGAAGGTTGACGCGTGCCTGGCCTCTCGCTGCCCGGCTGGGGATCGCTGCGGCATCGTGGCAGGCCGCGTGAGGCGAGGCGCTGCCCGGGGGCGCAGCAGGGAGGGCGGTGTGTTGCTCGTCGCTTTTGGCGAGAGTGCCTCTGCGCGTGAGAATGCTAACGCACGGTTCTTGTCTCTCCAGGGACTCTGGAAAAAACTGCAAAGCTGCTGCTTTCAGCAAGGATGGGTCCCTTTTTGCCTGGTGCAACGGAGAAAAGTTGGTGCATTTCATGACAGTAATCACTTAGTTTGTGTTAAATGAACCGTGTTTCATGCCTGTAAGCAACCGCTTTCGTTAAGGGCAGCAGCCTTTACACAGACGAGCAAACGGGGTGTAACTGACCCAGTTCACTTCTGCATGAGTTGTAGTAGTGGCTTTCTTTCCTGAATCTTCCCCGTGGTTCTCATGTTTATAATGCACCCGTTCCCGTGGGCTCTGGATATGGGTTTTCTCACATGTCCCTCTCTGATGGTACCTGGTTTTCTGGGAATAACCTGCAGAGGTGAAGGTGAAGAGTCTGTGCGCCTCCTGCGCACGCAGCACAAGCGGCTTTGTTGCAGCCCAGCTGCCATACGGAGCTCAGGAGAGATCCTTCCCGTGAGAGTGCAGCATGGGGTTGCTGCCCTGCGGAGGAGGTAGGGCTGCTGGGGGGGTGCTGTCCTTACCAACAGCTCAAAAACCTGCGACACTGCTCGGTAGCACCGTCTCGCCATCCCTGGGAAAGCAGGTGGTGTGGGTGGAGGATTCGGTACTTTCACTGTTATTTCTGGCTCTCCCAAATACCCAGACTCTTCACTGTTAATTAACAACAATTTTTATCAGTTGAAAAGGTCCATTTCCAGAAAACGTCTGTGGGGAGAAATGCTTTTCAGACCCCCCAGTTGCGTGCCCAGGTACTGACTGTAAATGAAAGCGTTCCACGTGGCAGGTCATTCCAGTCCTGCCGTGCCTCTGGGCGCTGCCCACCTCCCTTCCTTCTGGGGGGAGCGGCTGGTGAGACGGTGGGGAACAGGCTCCTGATGCGGTCTGTGGGAACAGCAGTCTTGGAGGCACCTTGATCCCAGCGTTCTTGTTTCTTGGGGTCCGCACACGGCACATCTTTAACACAGGGGTTCGGAGGTGCCGCTTGACCGTGTTTGTTCAGCCGTCCGGTCCGTGCTGTTCGGCCTCCTCCAGCCCCAGAAAGCCCAAACCGTAGCGTTGTCCCTTCTAGACAGACGACCCTTAAAAATAGGTGGGACAGTGTGTGTTTGATTCAGCGGGGGTCTTTGTTGGCCGCTGCTCGGCTCCAGCACTGCGGGAGTGGGGGTGGGCTCTCTGGGGGCAGAGTGTGTCTTGTCTGGTTCAGCCCAAGTGTTGCAGATAAAAACGGGATGTATCTTCACCAGTGCTTTCCCCTGGCTTCTCTTTGGTATCTGCTTTTAAAATGTGCTCTTCCAAAAGGTTAATAGAAGCAGGAGGGGTAAAAATCTCTTCTAATTTTGTTGTATTGCCCAAGTTTGGACCAGAACTAGAAGGGCCGAATACGTGAGAAGTGACCTTGGCTGACCATTAACGATCCTGAGCGTGTTTAATTGAAACAGCATCCTTTGGTTCCAGGGTAAACGTTGTCAGTGTCACCCGTGCCGAGCTGCTGCATTCCCTCGACCTTCCGAAGGCGGTTTGCCTTGAATTCTCCCCGAAGAATAGCGTTCTGGTGACGTGGCAGGCCTACACAAGTGAGTATTGTGCCAGCTGTGAAAGTCCTGGGCACGACCGCACGTTTTACTGCCCTGTGCCGGCTTTAGTTACCCGGTCTGTCGCTGTGGCGTGTTTGCTTACTAAGGAGCAGCCCGGAAAGTGTGCAGGAGGGTGTGCGGGTGGTCGGGGGTGTAGGGGAGGAGGGAAGGAGGGCATCTGCTGAAAGCACTGCTGTCGGCCGTTCCTACGAATACGCAGTCGGCGCACACACGCCGACAGTTGCTCTGTTGAGTAAATGACAGAGACAGTAAATGATGATTCCTATCGCGTGCTGACTGATCTCTGTGCAGAGCGTGTGTTTGAATAACGTGCCCCCCCGGCGCTTCAGTTCGGTATGGGCCAGGAGCACCGCTGGCTGTCGCAGGGTAGGCCTGCCCCCCGGCATAGCTGCCTGGAGCGTCTCCGTCGCCCAGAGGCCTTTATTCTCTCCCCTGCCCCTCTGGGGTTTCTGTCCCTGACTGAGATGGCTCAGTCTCGCAGGGGTTGCGCATCTGAAGTAGGCGGCGTAAATGCCACGAAAAGCGGGGCACGGGCTGCCGAGCGGGAAGTGGTCTGGGACAGGCTGCATGGGAGGACGAGGCCGTCCCAGTGACAGAATTGGTGCCAATTGTGGCTGCTGGAGAGCCGTTGGATCTGCATTGAGTTGTCAGTGGAAGTGGGCGGGCTGTGATAGCCAGAACGAGCCGAGGGGTACAGAGAGGACCAGCAGCGCTGTTTTGGTGCGGATGGAGCTGTGGCTGCAGCGGGGTGGACCGAAGGCACTGCGTTCTTGTGAGAGCAAAATGCAGGAGCGGGGAACGTGCCTGCCTCGTTTGCCACGAGGACAGCTTGGTTTGGATGAAAGCCCACGGCCTAGTGGGGGTGGCCCTAGCTGTGTCGCGGGAGTGGGAACCCCCACTCCCAAGTCTTGGTTCTTCTGCAGGCTGAAAGACCGTGGGAAGGCTCGCGTGAACAGGCAGAGCCGTTAGCAGCCTGGGCTGAGGGCCTGGGGGTGGGATGCTTCCTGCCAGAGCTCACCCCTCGTGGGTTGCTTGTGGAATCCCGAGAAGGAATGTCATGGCAGAGCAGATTTAGTCCCCAGAGACCACCACTGTCACCTTGTCTGTTGCAGCTGCAAAGGATGGCACGGCGGGGGTGCCCAACCTCCAGCTTCATGATGTGAAAACCGGGAAGTGCGTGAAATCTTTCATCCAGAAAAAGATGCAGAACTGGTACGTAAGGTGTGGGGACGCAGACTGCTTGCAAAGAAGCGTGGCTTCCGAAGTCTGATCCAGGTAAAGAGCTTGTAGCGCGGTGTTGGCCTGCGGTGTTGCCTGCCGCCGGCTGGAGGGGAGTAGTGGGGCTGTAAGTGTCGTTGTGCTGGGACTGCCCGTTTCCTAGCGTGAGCTCGCTGTCGCTCTGCAGCCCCGGGGAGGCTGGCAGGCAGTTCCTGGGTCCGGTTGTGTATTTTGACTGTGCAGACGTCACCTGCCCGTGTGAAATGGGTATCGTGCTTGAACTTGCTTGGCTTTAGAACTGGAGGAACCCCTCGCCCCCTCAGGACGAGCGTCGCGCGGTGTTGCTGACCTTCTCTGTCCCGCCCGCAGGTGTCCTTGCTGGGCAGAGGATGAGAGCGTTTGTGCCAGGAGCGTAAACAACGAAGTGCACTTCTTTGAAAACAACAACTTTGGTACGCGGGTACTTGCCCAAGAGGGCTTCACTGTGTTCTCTGTGGGTGTCTTCTGGGGGCTCTTTTGGCTCAGGTTTATTCATCCTTTGTTCTCTTGCTTCCTTTGTCTATGAAATGTGGTCTGTGTTCTGTTTGGATGTGGAACTCAGCATCATTATGTCTTAATGGAGTGTGTTTTTGCCCTGTTTGTCTCTTGGGTGCCTCGTCAGTACGAAGCGCACCCAGCTTTCAGTGAGAGAGGCCGGATTCCGTGCTGCTGCTCGCTTAGAGCCAGGGAGCCGGCAGCAGGGAGCGAGGTCTGTGATCGCTGCTCGGGGCGTGTGTGTTCTGCCAATGAGCTGCTGCAGGGTGGCTTGTGAGCAAGCGCACGCAGATGGCAAAGGGAGGTTGTGAGCCTGGAGCCTTTTCTTCCAGGAAATCTACTACCAGTGGTAGGACATTCGGGGTCACTAGAGGTCGGAAAGGGAAGGGGAAGAAAAAAGCAGGAAGATAAAAATGAGTAAGAGCCAAAATGTAAAGGAATAAAAGAAAACTGCTGGGGGGGAGAACGGGGTGGTGTGTGTGTTTTGGTGTTTCTTTGTTTTGTTTTTATTCTTTTTAAAATGTGAAGCTGATACGAGGATTATTCTGGGAGCTAAACCACAGCCCGAGAGCTGCAGCTCCCTGAGAGTTAGCCCTGCTGACGTTAACGAATCTGCACTAGGGCCGCATGGACCGTGCGCAGCGCGAGGCCCGCGGCTCAGGGCAGACTCCCTGCTGGAACATGGTGCTGGGATGCTGCTGTCTGCTTAGGGTGCAAAGCTGCTTCTCCCGGGAGGTGTCGGTGTAAAGGAGCACCGTTCGGCACCGAACGGGCCTCCGCCAGCGCCTCCTCTCGTGAAGCGTCACCCGCTGGACCGGCGAAGGGAGAGCCCCGGGTCGGGGCAGTGGCATGTGCTACCCGGCCGTGACTGGTGCCGCTTGCTCCGAAGGCAGCACAGACCGGCTGGAGAACGCCACGCCTCGCGTGAAACAGGACCGGTGTTCCCCTGGGGTTCAGGAGCTTCCCTGCTCGTCGAACTTCCAAGCACTAAACGCTGGATTTCGGCCCCAGGCGTGGGACAGGTTGCCTTGGTCAATAAAGACGTGGGGTGAAATGGGAGGGTGCTGGTGGTTTGCCCAGTCGAACGAGTGCTTCGGCACCGTGGGCGCTGTTCACTTGCCTGTGACACAGGCCCATGGAGGGTGTAGCAAAGTGATCCAGGCTGGTGTTGTCTCTCACTGATGTCACCTTGTTGGCTTTTTTCTTTTTTGCAGATACTATTGCAAATAAGCTGCATATGCAGAAGGTTCATGATTTTGTGTTGTCTCCAGGAGCGCAGCCGACCAAGGTACTCCTCCTGTTGTTCCCAATTACTGTTCTTGTTTTGCTTCACAAAAATTCCTGGGATTTTGGTACAGCACCCTAGCAGGGACTAGGCGCTGTGCTACCCAGAACACTGTCTGCAGCGAAACCTGTGGCTTTGTCCTAGGTGGCGGTGTACGTTCCGGGCAGCAAAGGCGCCCCATCCTTCGTTAGGCTCTATCAGTACCCCAGCTTCGGCGGTCCTCAGTCTGCGCTGGCCAACAAAAGCTTCTTTAAAGCTGACAAGGTGACAATGCTGTGGAACAAAAAAGGTATAACAGCTGCATGTTTAAACTCAGATTCCGCCCCTTTGGGATGGAATTACTTGGTTCACTGCGCGGATGTGCAGATGAACACTGATGGCGGCCGTTGACGCCAGTGCCCTGTTACAGTTCTGAACGCCCCGAAGTCCCGTTGACGTCCTGACTTCCGTGGCTTTGTAGTTCAGAGCATTCTACCTGTTGGTACATTCTGCAGTTGAATAGCGAATCCGGGTCTAATTGAGCGTTGTGCAGTGACGATGTGCTTCGACTGTCAGCGTGAGCTTACGTCAGAGCGCGAGGAATCGGTACAGCTCTGTGTGCAGAGGTGCCACACGTGGGCTGAGTGGCACAGTTCTCTGTGCTCTGCTCTTCAGGATAAGCTTGTCAAACCCTTTTTACCTCCACCCCTGCTGTGTGGAGCAGAGGGAAGGTATCGCAGGGCTGCAGTACCCCCGCGTGGGCGTGCGCTTTGGGGTGACAGAGGAGCTGCTGCTGAAACCTTTCTGCAAGGCTGATGGGGTGCTTGGGGTCTGCCTCAGAGGAGCACCTGGTTTATGGCTGAAAAAGCACGTTCACGTTCTCGTAATTCAGCGGTGAACGAGTAGACTTAACCCACGCTTTTCTTCCGAGAAAGGAGGATATTTATTCCGGTTGGGTTAGCATTTAGGAAAACTGGGATTCGGAAGGGAACAATGGCACTGTGATCAGCAACTGCCTCGGCTCCATAATCACGGCGCGTTCTCTTTGTTCGTGCTAGCTGTGGGGTCTGTTGCAGTAACTGTGCTGAAGCCCCTGTGTGTCTGTTCTGTTAGCCACTGCTCTGCTGGTCGTAGCCAGCACGGACGTTGACAAAACCGGCGCCTCGTACTACGGAGAGCAGACCCTGCACTACATCGCCACGGACGGGGAGAGCGCGGTGGTGCAGCTGCGTGAGTACCTGCCGGGCGGGTTTGCGTTGTTACAGCTCTGCACAGCGGGAGCTGCTCTTCCGCCAGCCTTTCGTTAGAGCAATGAAGAAATCTCTGAAAGCAAACACGGAGTGCTCAACACCCAGTCCTCCAGAATTGCCTTTTTCACCTGCAGTAAGGGGGGTTGGGTAGGTTGGGTTTTCCCCCTACCAGCTGAACTAGCGTGTTGTCTTAGTGCCAGTGGCAGAGAGCACCCACTGTCAATTAATATTCACAGATAGTTGGACTGGGAGGGTGTTCACGGGCGGGAAGTTAGGTTGCCAAACACCGTGGTCCTGCCTGCACTTCCAGACATGCACTTAATGCTGCTACTGCAGGAATCGAGGCAGAGGGAGAGCAACTTTTGGAAGCTCCTTGGACACGAGAAGCCCTTTATTTTGTACTGTAAAAGGGAAAGTGTTCTGAGGCAGCAAAACAAGATGCTGGGGAGGAGCGAGAGGATGCTTTTACCTCCCGTGGCTTGGGCGAACTGGTAGCTGTTCATTCCTTTCCCTGTGGAGGTATTTTTCCTGAGCTTGAGTGGGTGTGTGTAAAACACCCACCTGGTTTGGGACTACGGAGCGGGTAGTGGCTGTGTTTCAGAGCCCTGGGCGTGGGGTGATGCAGGCTCTCCGTGCCCAAGCGAGTGTGGAGGAGCTGTGAATCCCTCCTCTACAAGACCAGTGCTGGCGGGGAATGTCTCCAGTTTGCCCTCTGCAGCCAGCGCAGTGCCTCGTTCCCTTTGCTGACTTCACTGGGGAAGAAAATCAGGGTCATTACTTGGTGTCTGGAACCTCTCTGGGGGTGGTCTCCTGGATCGAGAATGCTAGTTGTTCTGTTACACGCTTAGGAAAACCTTTGCCCTTTGCCGTGACTGACTTCCGATGCACCTTTATTTAGCAGAAGTTTGTCGCTAATTTTCATGTAATTTAGCTGTTCTTTCTAAGGCAAAAACCAAACCGATGTCTGGGTTGTTAAACTGTTTTTTCCAGCAAAAGCAGGCTGTGGGTGCTGGGATGGCGCGCTGCCTCCTTTCCTGCGCATTTGTATCTTCTGGTTACTTCTGAGGCTCAGGCCTGACCGTTTTCCACGCTGGTGTTTGCTGGGGGTCGTTTGACTGCGACCGGCACCTGCTCCTGCTGCAGCCTGCGCTGTACCCGCTGGCGCCGCGTAAAGCCGCCCCGTGTCACCCCGCGTAACCGTCTGCCTCGCCTCTGGCCCTGCGCTTGCCGTGGGTCAGTCCTCTGGGGTGTGGTGAAGGGGAAAGCACGCAGCCGGTGCGATTGCCCAGCCTGGGTTCTGAAGGTGGCGAGGTTTTAAGCAACAGGGATTTAAATCCTTTGGTGCTTGGGGCGGGTGCCCGGAGCTCAGGGTTGTCGCAGTGCAGCCGGCGTTTCTGTGAAGCACAGGTGAAGGCATCCAGGTTGGTGATGACCTCTGGGTGTCATCCACCCCTGTCCCTCGTATGCGAGTTTCCATCGCCAATTCATCATTCAGCAGTGTCTCCTCATGTTTTGACCCTGGCAGAGCTTCTGACACTGTCCAGTTGTAATCGTTACCTGTAAAACCACTTTTGTGTGCTCGCTGACGTTAAAATGTGTCCTGTAAAGTCCCCTGCGTGAGCACGGCCCAAAGGTGATTTGGATCAGAATTTCTCAGCTCCTCAAAGCTGAGCTGTGCCGTACTACCTTGATTTAAAGACCAGGAAGTGCTGTCCAGCTGGTCTAAAACTCCTGGTTTTGCAGGTTTCCAGCGGGACAGTTTGTGAAGGGGGAGCGAGGGAGAGAGAGCCTTTACAGGCACAGCCTGTGCTTGCTGTGAGGGCCGGTGCTGGCCCTGCAGAGCTAACTGGGAGGGGCTGCAGCTCCCCTGGCCAAGCACCGCTGGTTGGCAGCCCATGGGACGCTGTTCCCAGCTCTCGTTGGCGGAGCTGCCGTGTGCTGTCAGGGATCGCCTCGCGGCGTTCTGTAAAGCGTCAGGCTCAGGATCCCTACAGCTTTTGTTCTTGCTCGCCCCGAGGAGACGTGCTCCTAACGACGGCTGCCTGTTTCCCTCTCCCTTTAGCAAAAAACGGTCCTATTTATGACGTCGTTTGGAGCCCCAACTCCATGGAGTTCTGTGCTGTGTATGGTTTTATGCCGGCCAAAGCGACCGTTTTCAATCTGAAGTGCGACCCCGTGTTTGACTTTGGAACCGGTCCTCGCAATGCTGCCTACTACAGCCCCCACGGGCACGTCCTGGTGCTAGCAGGGTTCGGGAATCTCAGGGGACAGATGGAAGTGTGGGATGTTAAAAACTACAAGCTCATCTCCAAACCCGTAGCCTCGGATTCCACGTACTTCGCTTGGTGTCCCGACGGGGAGCACATTGTGACAGCGACGTGTGCTCCCAGGCTGCGCGTCAGCAACGGCTACAAGATATGGCACTACACCGGCTCTGTCCTGCACCGCTACGACGTTCCAGCCAGCGAAGAAATGTGGCAGGTTTCCTGGCAGCCCTTCCTGGATGGAGCGTTCCCGGCCAAAGCGGTGAAATACCAGGCGGTTCCGAGCGAACTGCCCAGCGCGGAGCCGAAGCCCGCTCAGGCGTACCGCCCGCCCGCCCTGAGAAACAAGCCTGCCACGAGTTCCAAGCTCGTAAGTAGGTGGCGTGGTGCGGGACCGAGGGCGCCCATGCCGCTGCTTTGCCGTCTGTGGTCACGAGGGGCGTTAGCTGACCGTAGTGCGGGGCTTGGAGAAGTTTTCTTAGTCCCCCCTGGCGCTTTGCTCACCGGGGCCGTGTGCTGGAAACTGCCATTCCTTCGGCCCACGTACTCCGCTCTTACAGAGGCACGTGCGAGCTCTAGAAACGCTCCCGACAGCCACAAATTTGGGTTGGGTTTGCAGTGAAATTGGTACTCCAAGACAAAGCCCCTGGTGTGGGTGACCTGACCTGTCTAACCCCGGGGGGGGTGCACTGTCCTCCCAGCGCTGCTTTTGGGGTTTTGGGTAAGCTTATTGGCGAGGAGGAGGTTGGGTTGTCGGCACGTGGGCTGCAGTTGGAGCAGCGCTCGGTGCAGTGACCTGCTCGCCTGACTGGTTTTCCCCACGCTTTCGGGGTGGGGGGTGTAGCAATAATCCCTTCTCCACCTGCGCCCTGGATGTTGAAGTCCGAGGGGCTTTGGTCTCGAGCCATGTGCTTCTGAGGCCGCTGGGCCTGGGAGGCATCTGGCGGGTGTGCTGCTGTCTGCTCTCGCAGACGATCGACAGGCAAAGGCAGCAAAGATGCCTGAAAACATGGCAGTTCTGTTATTTTGTCAGAAATCCCTGAAATCTTTGGGATGTAGAGGATAGTCCCATCCAAACCGGGGAACGGATGAGTTTGAAACTTGCCACGCTCTCTTCTGCTGCTCGGAAGAGGGAGGGCGCCTGCTCCTTCCTTGCTCCTCCGTTAGGGTCCGTCTTAGCGCAGGATGCCGCTTTCAGCAGGTCCGGGGCTTCGCTGTCGGGTCTCTGCACCCAGGCGCTTGCCGCCGTGGCGTACCCGTTGTGTAACTTCGTTCTGCGTGTCCTGCAGCACGAGGATGAGCCGCCTCAGAACATGAAGCCGCAGCCGGGCAGCAGTGACAAGCCGCTCTCTAAAACAGCTCTCAAAAATCAAAGGAAGCATGAAGCCAAGAAGGCTGCTAAGCAGGTACAGCAGAAGCGGCTCTTTCGAGGGTAGGGGAATCGGTTTTCGCAGCGGGACCGCTCGGCCTCGGGGCGGTGACCGCTGGTTGCCCTGAGAGTCCTCTGTGAGTCCGGCATGTGCCGAGCTGTGGGAGGGTGGGAGGCCTTTAATGGGACTAAAGCAGGGACAGAAGGGTATCTTAAAAATGACACCTTCGGTTAGGAGCCGTGCATGTTGGCTGAAATCAGCATTGAGACAAGGTGATTCTGACTTTGTGCCTCCGGGTGACCTGCAGAGGTTTCCTCGGTGCCAGGGAGGGGTAAGAACCTGCGTCAGGGCTGAGGCCTGGGGTCAGGGCAGACCAAAGGCAGCCCATCCTGTGCCCCCCTCTGCTTGCTATTCCTCGGCTAGGCAGATAGCAATCAGCTTTTGGCATTAGTCTTCCAATTTCTATGAACTTCTGAAGCAATCATTTTCTTTAAATAAGATTTTTAAATATTTTTTACACTGGTTGTGAGCCCTTTCTTTTACTTCAGAGACACCGACCCACCAGTCTGCTTCAGTACATATTTGTGTATGTGTTGGTCGTGCCATCCTGACGGATGCTTCCCTGTGCTGTCTGTGGCTGGGGTCTTGAGGTAGAACTTAAACAAGAAACAGCACGCGAGTTGCTGTCTGACAGCCCGTTGTTGTGGAAAGCACGTGCCTAGGTAATGCCATCCATCCGAGCAAGTCACTCTCAAACGCTGGAGCGCACCAGGAAACCGGCAAAGGAAGAAACACTAAATGGATCCCTTAGAAGGATTGAAGACAGTTTCCAGTCCCTCCGTAATCAAAGGTGTTTTCTAGAGGACGTGTTTATTTTGTTTGTCTACAGGAGGCCAAAGCTGATGCGAACCAGGAATCTGCGCAGCCCTCAGCGACACAGAACACCCCACGGAGCGCTGCGCCCGCTGTTACCTCAGGAGATCCGGAAGTTGACAAGAAGATAAAGAATTTGAAAAAGGTGAGGGTGTTGGTTTTCCCTAACAAACAGCAGATTTCCCTAAGAGATGGTCTGCAGGGTCTAGTCTAGCTCTACGGTGACGAGCTCAGCAGCGTGGCGTGACATCCCGGGAAGTGTCCAAGGCCAGGCTGGATGAGGCTTGGAGCAGCCTGAGCTGGTGGAAGGTGTCCCTGCCCGTGGCAGGGGGTGGGGGTGGGGGGCTTTAAGGTCCCTTCAGCCCAAACCACCCTGTGAGTCTGTGATTTACCGAGGTGTCCGTTTCCTGAACTGGCAAAGCACCTTCCTTTGCTCCTCCATCTGTACAAGGCAGGGCTCATTCCCTGCCAGGGCTCCCTCGGTCTTCCCAGGGTGGTGCCCGGCAGCGCAGGAGCCGCTGACGGTGCCTGGAAGAGCACCCCCGTCTCCTGTTAGGAATGCTGTTGCACGTGCACCCATCCTCACAGCTGAGGGCGCAGGTTAAAGGCGCTCACGCGTGGAGAGCAGCTGCGTGGGCTCCTTGTTTGTTGGATGGGAGAACTGAGCCATGCCCTGTGGTTCTGGTCCCTTCCCAAACTTGTGAACAGTGTGAGTGTGCCATTTACTGCCAATCTAGGGAATTCTCAGCTTAAATGGAGGTTGTGTGGTTCAGGAGAGAGAATCCTTCCCCTTTCTGCATAATCCATCAGGGTTTTCTCTTGTCTGCCTCCTGCTTTTCATGGTCCCTGAACATTCCAGGCTTTCTGAGGACAACATGTGGTGAAGAGGGATAGTGACAGTGGAGGAGTAATTCCTGAATTTGGATCTAGCCTGTCGGTGGGGTAACGCGGGATGTTGGTTTCGGGGACTAAGCAGCCCTGAGAGAGATGTCTTTGCTTGGCCGGGAGTTCTGGATTGAGCATCTGGAGATGTCTAAGTGGAATGTGCCATCGGCACTGAGGCCTGCCGCCCGGGCAATCGGGCGGTTGCAAGTGCAGGAACTTCTGAGACTTTTTTCCTGTTCTTGGCTCACCAATATTTTTGTGTTAATGGGCTTTTTCGTTTGTTTCTTTTCACAGAAGCTCAAGGCAATTGAGCAGCTGAAAGAACAAGCAGCTGCAGGCAAACAGCTGGAGAAGAATCAGGTACCGTTAAGATGCGGGCAGTTCATTTGGGCTTTGTTTTGTAATAAGCTACATCCGGGCCACCTTGTGCTTTTTTGTTCTAGGTGGAGAAGATTCAGAAAGAAGCTGCTCTCCTTCAGGAGCTGGAAGATCTAGAACTGGGTCTTTAACGCTCCGCGGGGATCCAGCGCGTGAAGCTCCCGAGAAGCATCGTTTGTGTCCGCTGGAACGTGCCCAGCAGTTTGGGCGGTGACTGGGGATGCGGAGTGCCCAGCTCTGCCGCACGCCCGCC